AAAAAAAAAAAAAAAAAAAAAAAAAAAAGTAGATGCTGAGGCTCAGAGAAGTTAATGACTTGCTCAAGGTCACACAGCTGTCAAGAGGTGAAGACGAGACTCCACTAGATCTGTTTGATCTGGAAACCTTTTTTAAATATTATTCACGGCACAGCTCATTGGTTACAGGACTGAGAATGTCACATAGCTGATAAGGGGGCTTGATCTCGGATACAAATCCTGGTCCATCAGTCCCGAGGACCAGCGGTGAGTCCAGATTGCATTTTCTAACCCAGCACAAGTTTCTTGAGTTTTTCAGCCCCGTCTCATCTCTCCAAGCACCAAGAGCTCTTGAAGAGCTGGTCAGGGCTTCACTCGCATTTCTCCAGGACACCCAGAATAGTGTTCAGCCCCCGTGAACACTTCTGCGGTCCTCAGGTACCCCTTGGCGCCCACCGTGGATGGTTGATAACTTCAACTGGGAACAGCACGGGCTCCGGGTCGGCTGCTACCAGCCCGCCGGGCGCCACTTACCTGCCGCGGAGCGGTGAGGGTCCCATCCACGTCGAAGAGGCAGAGCGCTGGGCCGGGCGCTGCCATGTCCCTAGTTTCTAGCCGCACCTTACGAGACTCGTTGGCATCAGGAGCTCGGCCCGGAACTTCCGGGTTCGGCTCCCGAGCCGCAGGGCACGTCGGGAAGAGGAGACTCTGCTCCCACAATGCCTGGGACTAGCGCCAGCCACGATTCCTGGACCGCAAATCCCAGAGTGCAATGCGGTCACGCCCGCCTTGTACGTTCGAGCCTGCCCTCTTAGAGGTTCCGGGGGCCGGTGGCATTTACTTCCGGCAGCAGGCGGTGGGACAATGGTAAGGAGGCGGGTGACGAGCCTTGTGGGGGTGTTTTTTGGGGATCGGGGTCAGGGCTGGGGCAGGCAGGCAAAACGCCTGACTTTCAGACTCGGAGAATCCCTAGTAGGAGGCTCCAGCGTGGGTTACGCGTCGCCATTCCCCGTCTTTCTCTGCCCTCCTTGGGTCACGTGCGCAGCAGTAGTACTCGCTAAAACTCGCCAAGCTCTCACAGTGCGTCAGGTACTAAGTTGAGGGCTCTAAAACCATCTTCTCGTTCACTATGTTCTGAGTCCCCATTTTGAAAGGTGAAGAAACGGAAGCTCACGGATGTGAAGGAAGTAATTTGCTCAAGAATCCATAGGCAGTGACTGTTGGAGCCAGAACCGGAACCAGAACTTTTACTGCCTCACTACTCACCGAATAATATCCTTGTGCTATGTGTTGGGGCCTCCCTGCCTCACTCCTCCTCCTCTGCTATTTCCGCTTCCCCAGACTAGGCTAAGAAAACAGCAGTGTCCTCTAGCACCCAAGATAACGTATAAATCACACAGAATTGGAAAGTTATTGGGATACATATCTCACAGATTTGTTGCTCGAGTTCCCCACTAAGACACTGATTATTTAGTTTCCTGCTTCGGGAAATGTTCACAACCCCTTGTGGATCCATTGTCCAGCCCAGAGTTGGTCCTCCTTAGATATGTTTTGAATTAATGAAGGCTGTACCTCCTTTCCTGTATTTGGAATTGCCTGGTGAAAGGAGGCCCGGTTTGAGAGTCGGACTCTACTGCACTCACTGACTGTGTTTTGGGTATATATTTTACCTTCTCTGGGCTCAGTTTCCCTAGTGGTAAAGTGGAAATAGGAATACCTATCTTAGGTAGCTGTTGTGTTGCTCACATGAGATAGCATCTGGCTTTACCCTTCCCTTCTCTGGCAATAATGGTGAAGTTGCAGGATTGGCGAAAGCCTTGGAGTAAGATGCTTTGCAGATGTTCACCGTGTGATTAATGTGGTTGAGTTCCATGAGAGAAATGGTCTGCTATCTCCCTTTCAGTCTGCGCTTCTCCGAGCTGTGCCTAGGTTTCCGGGAAAAACTGCGTGGGGACGGCCTCTCCATGGGCTGTGGTGCTGCAGTGGGCAGGAGGATCCTAAGAGGTGGCTGGGGAGCAGCACGTCACCCACCTCAAAGGAGAAATTACCAGACGCAGAGACTGAGAAATTCCGGATGTTTTACCGTTTTGATGCCATCAAATCCTTCGGGTACCTGTCTCGACTGAAGTTGGCACAGACTGCCCTGACAGTGATAGCTTTGCCACCAGGCTATTACTGGTACTCCCAGGGCCTCCTGACTCTCAAGTCCCTTTGCATCATGAATGGGGTGTCATGCTTTGCTCTGGCCATGCTCTGCTGGATGAGCTATTTCCTTCGGAGACTGGTTGGCATTCTGTATCTCAACGAGTCTGGCACCATACTGCGGGTGGCCCACCTGAACTTCTGGGGCTGGCGGCAGGACACATACTGTCCTGTGGAAGATGTGATACCCCTGACGGAAACCAAGGACGGTCCTGAGGAGCTGTTCATGCGTATCCAGCAATACAGTGGGAAACAGACCTTCTACTTCACCCTGCGTCATGGTCGCATCCTGGACAAAGAGTGTTTCATACAGGTGTTTGGGGCGCTGCAGACATTAAAGTGAACAACTGGGAGCTGGACCTCTGGGTAACCCTGGGTTGCCTGGATTGACAGGAAGGCCGAGGGTGTGCGCAAGGTTGAAGAAAGGGGATTGAGTACTTGGAGACTTTGCCTGGACCCCTGGGAACATGTGTTTTGTGATGTAGAAATTTACAAGGTGAGATTTGGTGTCCAGGTTTAGGAAAAAGGCTCTAAATGCAAGTTCTTTTTTTTTCTTTTCAGTTTTTGAGATGGACTTCGCTCTTTCCCCCAGGCTGGAGTACAGTGGCGCGATCTCGGCTTACTGCAGTCTCTGCCTTCCAGGTTCAAGCACTTCTCCCACCTCAGCCTCCTGAGTAGCTGGGACTACAGGTGCCACCACACCTGGCTAACTTTTTTGGTATTTTTAGTAGAGACGGGGTTTCATTATGTTGGCCAGGCTGGTCTCAGACTCCTGACCTCGTGATCTGACTGCCTTGGCCTCCCAAAGTGCTGGCATTACAGGTGTAAGCCACCGCACCCGGCTAAGTACAAGTTCTCATAGCACTTGTGTGTGACATTGAGTCAGATAATGGCCAGAAGTTTCTGTTAGGAGCCAGTTATTAAAGGAACCTATGCCAAGGTCACCCAGACAGTCCATTGCTGTGAAGTGGGAAGGCAAAGAGGTGTGGCGGGGGAGTGTAGGATTTGGAGTCAGAAGTCTCAGTTCTGTTACTTGTCCTGGGGCAGGTTATTGAGCCTCTTTGAACCTCCATCTATAAAATGGCAAGTCCTGTTTGTTTCATGGGATGGGTGTGGGAATAAACAATAAATATCAAAATTGTTGCAGACTCAACAGCCCAGAGCAGATATTAAGCATTTGTACAGAGGTTTCAGCATGGAGAAAGGCTTTGAGCAGTCAGTAGGGACTTCTAGAACTCTGTGCTGTGTCCCCTCACATGTCCAGCAGCAGAAGGGACAGCCAGAAGGGACTGTTAACTACACATCAGCGAGCAGAGATGTCATCCAGGTGAGCACGAAATCCCACCCAGAGGTCTAGAGACTCTTGTTTTGGATGGCCCTGCAGTGTAATAAAGCCAGACAGACCGTATGCTGGAACACTATTTTATAAACTAAAGCCAGTTATATACGCTGCCCTGCATAATTAATATGTTCATTATACAATTTGTAACAGTAAAGAGGAAGGAAGGCGTGACCTTTATGATTTTGCCACTCAAAAGTCAGTAACAATATTTTATTGCGTAGCCTTTCATTTTTTTTAACTGTAGCCAGATATACCTAACAAATAGATCTTTTTTATTTTGAGAAGGAGTTTCGTTGTTGCCCAGGCTGGAGTGCATTGGCACAATCTTGGCTTACAACAACTTCTGTCTCCAGGGTTCAAGCAATTTTCCTGCCTCAGCCTCCCAAGTAGCTGGGATTACAGGCATGTGCCACCACGCCTGGCTAATTTTGTATTTTGAGTAGAGACAGGGTTTTTCCATGTTGGTCAGGTTGGTCTCAAACTTCTGACCTCAGGTGATCCACCTGCCTTGACCTCTCAAAGTGCTGGGGTTACAGGCATCAGCCACTGCACCCGGCCTTTCACTGTGATGCTTCTGTCCTGTGCTTGCATCCTTGCCTTACTCAAGTCTGTTTTTACAGCAGTCAAAGTGATCCTTAAAAATACAGTCGCCTCACTCTGCTGTGACAGTTGATGGCCTAATCTGCCCTCCCCTTTCCTCCCTCATCTGCAACTCTGTGGAGATCATTTCCCCAGGTCATGCTGGCCTTGCTGTTCTCCAGTAATCAAGGATGATCCAGCCTCAAAGTCTTTGCATTGACAGTTCATCTGCCTGGAAAGCTTTCTCCCTGGATACCTGCAAAGAGAACTAACTGCCTTCCCTTCAGTGTCTTCCCTGTATAACGGGTTGTACTATTTCTGCTCAAGAAGTATAGTGAAGATTCAATTATATAGAAGAGACACGTACACAGCAGTTGCACATGGCTGTTCATTCCTTCTACACTTCACCTTCACCTGCCTATCAGTTCCTTCAGTGACTGTGAATCCTTTTCCCATGAAGACATACAGCCTGTGGCTAAAAAATGTCTTAAGAATTCATAATGATTTCACCCTAATCTCACTGAAACCAGAAATTCTCTCTTTGTTGGGCTAGTTGTGAGAAATGCCCTGAGTGAGTCCCACCCTGGGATATTCTGATTATGTCTGGGGTAGGTTCCCAGGATTTGTCTTTTTGACCCACTTGAAGCCAATTCTGAGATTTAGGCAGGCTGGGAATTTTGAAATAAACAACTAGAACAGAAGACACCAGAGTGATACGTGCTTCTGTGTTCCTGGGCCAATTTTCTGCCTAAAGAATAGGTTCTTAACACTGGCTTATTTGTAGAATCTCCTGGAGAGTGTTTTTAAAACCCCATTGTCGAAGCTCATGACCAGGCCTTTCCATTATCACGGTTCCCTGCGTGATTCTAATATGCAGCCAGGATTGACCATCATTGCCCTTGAAGTCTCACCACGCTGTTAAGTCTACAAGGGCTTGCCTTTGGAGGTGAGATGCCAGATACTGCTCACGCAGTACCAGCAGAGGGCACACAGAACAAATGCATTGTTCCATCCGCTTATCCCTGAGCTAAAATCGTACATCTCCACCATAGGACAGGAAATGTGTTAGGGCTTCTGTCGTGTACCAGTTAGGGTAGTACCTGAGAGCTGCCCCCAAACAACTAAAGTCAACAACATAAGCAGTAAAAGTCCAGGCACACTGGCTCACGCCTGTAATCATGAGGCCGAGGCGGGCAGGTCGCTTGAGACCCGAAGTTTGAGACCGGCCTGGGCAATATGGTGAAACCCCATCTCTACTAAAAATGCAAAAAATTAGCTAAGTGTAGGGCACATGCCTGTAGTCCCACCTGCTCGGGAGGCTGAGGTGAGAAGATCACTTGAGCCCGAGGGGCAGAGATTGCAGTGAGCTGAAATTGCACCGCGGCACTGCAGCCTGGGTGACAGAGCGGGATCCCGTCTGAAAAAAAGACGAGGGGCCAATCCTTGTTGAATCTGGTAGAACCTGGGTGTCTGTTTGTTTATGCTTCCTAGGTAATTCTAAGGCACCCTAAGTTTTGAGAATCACCCAAAGCCATGGAATAGATGGCAAAGCTGCTTCTTAGAAAATGGGAGTTGCCTTTAGATTTGGGTGGTAAATATATTGGCAGTTCCGCCTTTAACAACAATTCTAAACATAATTGTCTTAGTTCACTCGGGCTGCTGTAACAAAAATACCACAGGCTGGATGGCTCAAGCCACATTGATTTTTCACAGTTCTGGAGGCTGGGAAGTCCAAGATCAATGCGCCAGTGAGTTCATGGTCTAGAAGGGCCTGTTTCCTTGTTCATAGACAGGCTTATTCTTGTGGTCTCACATGGCAAAGGACGTGAGGGGGCTCTCTGAAATCCCTTTTATAGGGCACTAATCCCATTCATGAGGGATCCACCCTTTCTACCTAATCATCTCCCAAAGCTCCCACCTCCAGATATCATCACATTGGAAATTAGGTTTCAACATATGACTTTCGGGGTGACACATTCAGAATATAGCAATAATCTAACAGAAATACTGAAGTGTACATATAAGGATGTTCACTGAAATATTTCCAACATCACAAAAACTAGACCGGGCATGATGGCTCATACCTGTAAATCCCAGCATTTTGGGAAGCCGAGGTGGAAGGATTGCTGGAGGCCAGCAGTTCGAAACCAGCCTGGTCAACATAGTAGGACCACATCTCTAAAAAAGAAAAATTAAAAAATTAGCCGGATACAGTGGCGCAAGCCTGTAGTCCTAGCTGCTTGGGAGGCTGAGGCAGGAGGATTGCTTCAGCCCAGAAGTTCAAGGCTGCAGGGCCAGTACTGTGCCACTGCCCTCTAGCCTGGGTGACAGAGTGAGACCCTATCTCAAAAAAATAAAAGAAGAAAAGTAAAAACTGGGAATAATCTAAGTTTCTATTACTGGGCCACATGGTTAAGTAAATGTTGGTAGATCCATATTGTGGTATACATGGAACCTTTAAAAAAATGAGATTGAACTATATCTGTGGAAAAGACCATGAGGTAGGTAGGGGGGAAAAAAAAGCAAGTCACAGAATAGCGTAGTTCTGTGTGATCTTATTTGTGTTTTTAAAAAAATACATGTTGGCTGGGCGCATTGGCCCACGCCTGTAATTCCAGCACTTTGGAAGACCAAGGTAGGTGGATCACTTGAGGTCAGGAGTTCGAGACCAGCCTGGTCAACATGGTGAAACGTCATCTCTACTAAAAATACAAAAAGTAGCTGGGCATGGCACCTGTAATCCCAGGTACTCGGGAGGCTAAGGCAGGAGAATTGCTTGAACCCAGGAGGCAGAGGTTGCAGTGAGCAGAGATCACAACATGGCACTCCAGCCTGGGCAACAGAGTGAGACTCCATCTCATAAATAAATAAATAAAACATGCATTGTAAATCGTGAGCAGTGCTGGGAGGAGCACTGGGCTGAGAGGGGCAGATGGGACAGTTAAGTACTCCACTTTCAACATGATAACCTTCTAATATTGTTTAAAAAGTTTATAATGAGCACGTCATTCATTCTAACAAACGAAGAAAAATGCATTAATAAACAGTCTTCTTCTGTTCCCTCCTCCTCCCACCAGCTTTTTAGGCAAAGAAAAGTTTCTCAACCATGACTTCCAATTTTGGACTCAGAAGCTGAGTAGATAGAAGGAAACATGCAGTTGTTGAAAACTCAGTTAAAGCATCTGGTGACTGGGCCGGGCACGGTGGCTCAAGCCTGTAATCTCAGCACTTTGGGAGGCCGAGGCGGGTGGATCACGAGGTCAAGAGATCGAGACCATCCTGGTCAACATGGTGAAACCCCGTCTCTACTAAAACTCCAAAAAAAAATTAGCTGGGCATGG